CTATCCCACCCCTCTAGGTGGTCACAGAGCACCGAGCTGATCTCCCTGCGCTATGCGGCTGCTTCCCACTAGCTATCTGTTTTACGTTTGGTAGTGTATATATGTCCATGCCTCTCTCTCACTTTGCCAAGCACTATTTTGGATTCTTGGGGATACTAAAATGAATAATATGGGGTCTTTGACTTCAAGAGGCTCAGAGTCTAATGCACAAGAAAGACATAGAAGCAGTAGTTTGATATGGTAGTTTGTGTTCCAAAAGAAGTATCTATGTGGACTACTTTTTAAGAAAGTGGCTATATTTTCCCTAGGCTGTGTAAAGCTTGAAAGTCCACAACTTTGTCTCTTTGGTGTAAAGCTAGCAGTGTTGTAGAAAGTAATACTTGACTAGTAGTCAGAAAGGTCATATTTGGGGCTTTCCTGGTGGCGCAGTGGTTGGGAGTCCGCCTGCCGATGAAGGGGACACGGGTTCGCACCCCGGTCCGGGAAGATCCCACATGCTGCGGAGCGGCTGGGCCCGTGAGCCATGGCCGCTGAGCCTGCGCGTCCGGAGCCTGTGCTCCGCAACTGGAGAGAGGCCACAACAGTGAGAGGCCCGCGTACCGCAGGAAAAAAAAGAAAAAGTCATGTTTGAATGTAGCTCTTTCACTTACTAGCTCTAGGATTTTGGACCAGTCACTCAGTCATGATGGACGGTAGTTACCTCACAGGCTATCATGAGGATCAGATGAGACCGTAAGAAAGTGGTCAGTGAGTTTTAGATGTGAAAATTCTACATTATTATGCCTTTTGCTTATACGGTACTATTAATATTAAACACGAATGCAATAATCGATTCATTCAGTGTTTACTGGCTCATGGTCCTGCTGCTGGGAGGATGTGCTAGAGAAAATGCTCAGTGTTTAACAGTGGGCAGATAGATGTGTGCACATTTCTTTTCTTCCTAAAAAGAGTGAAGAGACTGAGAAGGAAATAAGGATAGTGGGGTCTGAGAAATGGGGAAGGAAAGAGAACTGAAGCTGGTTGGGACAGGAAAAGGTACCAAAAGGAGATGAACATACAAACTTAAGCACGAATTTACCCCCAGTTCTCCTGATCATCGTCACCGTCAAGACAATTTTTTGAATACTAAATAACATACATACATTCAATGGTGTGCTGGTAAATCTTTAACAACCAACTCTCCAGAAAAAACCCAAAACACACGGTAGATAGCATTGGTCAATTTCCATACTGTAAACACTCCTGCCACAGCCAATTTTAAGCTACTAACATGATATCACTGAACAGGGAGATAAGAAGAGATGCACCCACCCCTATATATGATTTCCATCCTACAAATATAATAGACATAAATAAACTCAAGAGTATAGATAATGGTAAACATAGCAAAATAATTTGAAAGTGATGTTTTGAGTATTTGCTAGCTTTATTTTAAAAATAACTTCTTAAATGCAATTTAATTTTTAATAATGGCTGTGTTGAATATCCAGCTTGCAAAATTTCTGCAAATGTAACCATCAGCACTCTCGAGGCAGTATGAGCCAGTGGCAGCAGTGGGTAGATTGGTAATTGCTCTAGTACGGTACCAGTTAGGGTTACGATCATCACCTCTTCTGGGAAGCCTATCTATGTTAGGTGCCTTTCTCTATAATCCCGTCATAATCTCTTACATATCAAAGCAATTACCACACTGTGTTGAAATCTCATTTTTCTACCTCCACACTTGAGTTCCCAGTGACTGTGACTTTTAACTCCCTATGTTCTTCAGCTAGGACTGTTCCTGGGACAGATAGAGCTCAACAAAAGCATACTGAAGAAATAAATTGACCTGGCTCTGGTTCCTGTTGTCCCGGAGCCTGCAATCTAATGTGATTGATGTACAAAGACACATCACTACAGAATACACACAAAATTTAGTAGAAGCTCTGAATAAACATGTGAATGAATAATAAGGCTTTTATATCACATAAGAGTGGCTTTTATGAGGGTGGAAAATAACAGAGATTACGGATCAATCGAAGTAGCTGTAGCAGTTCTATTTTTATCCCTATCGTGATTTCAAAACAAAACAAAACACCAACGTGTTTCCTTATCTCATCTATTTAATAACATTCTAATGTTCAAATATTTAAGAAGTAAAAGTGGCACATATTCATTATAGAAAAATTACAGAATATAGAAGCATAAAGAAATAAAGGCCACCTATATTTTACAAGGTTGATGTATTAGGGAGGATAGGTTAAGATAATAGCACCCGAAAAGCACCAAATAACAGTGGCTTAAACAAGATGCTTTATCTCTTTTTCAGGTAGAAGTTTGCAGGTTTGCAGACTGAGGTTCATGTGGTGGTTCTGCTTCCCAATGTCCCAAGGACAGCTCAGGGCTCACCATCCCTGGGGTGTGGCCCCATTCGTCAAAATGCAAGTCAGCATCCAGCCTCCTGGTAGCAGGATGGAGGATGGGATGAAGAAGAGGCACAAGGCCAACTGCCTCCTTCTTCAGGAAGATTCCCAGGATTTGCCCTTTGGCATGTCCATTACATCCCATTTGTTAGAAAATAGTCACATGCCACATTTATCTACAACGGAGCCTGGGAAATGCAGTTTTTCTTCTCAGCAGCCATGTGCTTGGCTAGAATTTCTATCACCACTGAAGAAGGGGAAAATAGATATTTAGGACCAGAATTTGCTGCAGTTATTTCCTTAGTTAAATTGCAAAGAGAGGAGTTAATAGAAGTTGTGCCCACTTTCAAGGTTATTGATGCATATTGATAATTTTCCTTTCAGAAGCTCTGTATGCATTTGTACTTCCAAGGACATATATGAATACTTAATGTTAAACACCAATTCAGTAATCAGTCAATTCATTGATTCCTATATGGCTTGGCTGCTGGGAATATGTGATGGAGAAAGTGCTCAGTGTTTGATAGACCCGGGCTTTATTGTCAGGACTCTTTCAGCTGCAAGTGACAGAGGACCTAACAAGAATATTGGATTTATTCAGATATTGAGGTGATCGAGCACATTAAGGAAAGGGAATGGATAGTATACATTGGAATCTGAAGTTAGAGAATTAAAAATGAAGTTCTTGTGAAGAGGAATGGGAGAGGAGGATTATACAGTAGTTGTAAACATTCTGAGGCCTAAAGAGAGAGCAGCAAGTGTGATATGATGCCCTGTTAAAGTCACGGAGGGGCTTTTCCACATATACTTTCATCAACTGCTGTTTTTCAGGCAATGTGCTAAGTGCTTTATACACAGTCCCTCACCGAGTGCCCATGTCAATCATATATTTTTATATGCCTATATGTTGCACATGATGAAGTGAAGGCTCAGGAGAGGTCAGGTTAAGGGTGGAGCTAGAATTTAAACCCCACTCTGATTGATGTCACAATTTTGCTTTTTCCTCTTCTATTCGGAAGAGTGAACTGACAGAAAACAAATTTGGTAAGGATCACTTCTGCTGTAGCATTTGAATTAACTTAAGGGTATAAAGAGACACTAAAAATCTTTAAAAATTATACAAGAATTAGAGAGAGCAACAAATAAAGTGTTGTAAAAGGCAGGAAGGACCTCATGAGAATTTTGTCTCTTCTAGGGGGCCTTTTTTGACCTGAGTTGGATGCCTACCTCTCTTTTCTCTTAGTACCTGTGTTTACTCTAAGACTGAGAGTTCTCATCTCCACTGTGGTTGTCTGTTTATTTTGTTGTCTCTGCCACCAGACATATCTTGGGTGCCAGGTATCAGGTCTTATACAACTTTGTATTACCAGGGCCCAGTACAATGCTTGGAACACAGTAGGTACTCAATAAACATTTGCTGGATGAATTATACAAGCATTCATTTCATGGTCATATTAATACATATTTACTGAAAGAGAAATTTTGCTAATTTACTATTACGTTAAATTTTGAGAGGTGAATAGTAACAACTAGATTAGCATAAAATTATGATTTTGGCCATGATTATAAAGAGAATGTTTATAAGGCAACTGAACTTGTACATAATATGGAGAATCTACAACATGCTAGGCTGTTTTGAGTGCTTAACATTGTATTTAGTTATTTATTTCTCACAAAAACCTTATGGGGGGAAATAGAATTATTTCTACTTCAAAAATTGTGAAAATTGAAAAACTAGGAAATGAACCCAAGTCGTTCTGCTCTAAAAATTCTGTGTTTAATTAGCAGATGCAAACTATTATATATAGAATGGATAAACAGCAAGGTCCTACTGTATAGCACAGGGAACTACATTCAGTATCCTGTAATAAACCATAATGGAAAAGAATATGAAAAAGAATACATATATATGTATATATATATATACATATATATATGTATAACTGAATCACTTTGCTGTACACCTGAAACTAACACAACATTGTAAATCAACTATACTTGTTTAAATATTTATAAGTATTTTATTATATTGCAATAAGTTTAAAAAAATTTTTAAATGGGCAAAATATTTTCTGTGTTTAACTAGGCTATTTTAATTCGCCATTGTTTATGAGATTTATTATTATTTTTATTGTTGTTATTACATGACCGCATAATAGCATCTTCTAATGAGAACTCATAAATCTTTATCCTGTTGTTTTGTCTGTAAACCGGGAACTTCCCTTCCACCAAAGGCACAGACTCTCCAAGAGGACCCCTAAGTATCTTGGGAAATTGATGCTTTTATGCCTGAGCAACCTCTACTCCATCTACAAAACCGATGAATAATTTGCAATCAACATTTTCCATTACTCATCTTAAATAATCAGGGACTCATATTTGAGATCGTTTTCCCTAAAAAACGTCCAATTGCACCTCCCAGGTGACTTCTGTGCGCAGACTCTCCCCCGCAGCTTTCTCGCCCACGAAACTACACTTCCCAGCGGTCTGTTCGTTCATCTGCGCGAACTCTTCTTTCCCGGAGCATCGGGTGGCATCCTGGCAAAGCTAAGGGCGATTTGCAGGGCGCTGTGGCTGGGAGAAGTAAAGGGCGGACAGGCGAGGCCCTCCCGCGCTCGCGCGTCCCCGAAATGGCCCGGAGGCAGGACGAGCAGAGAGGGGGAGCGCCCTTGATGGCGGAAGGCAAGTCGGACGCGGAGGTTAAGCTCATTCTGTACCACTGGACGCATTCTTTCAGCTCTCAAAAGGTAAAGGCCTCCGCCGGGCGGGCGGTGCGGATCGGGTTTCAGCACCGGGACAGCTCCCTCTGGGTGTTGCCCGGGTAGGCCGGCCCACTTAGAAACAGGCCTCCGACGCCCTAACCCCGGCGGGCGCTCCCTGAGGGGCGGGGGTGCGCCTTGTAGGGGAGCAGGGAGCATCAGTCTGAGGTGCAAAGGCCACTACCAGTCGTGAAATGCAACAAAAAAGCATCGCTTTCGGTATTTGGGCGGGAGGCCTTGTCTCCGGGGCCGTGGAGAGCGAGGCAGAGGGAAGCGCCTTCCTGCAACCACATCGTCTAGGGTTCCTTCTTTTACTCTTGGTCGCATTCACTCTCTTCAACAGGCCTAGCCTATCTGTTTCAGGTCCTTATTATGGGGAGGACACATCGTAAGGTTTAGGACACCGAGAAAGTAGTAGTGATGAAGAGGGTGACTGTGGACTGAATATAGCCAGAATCCTTTTCATTACTTAATTATCTTTTCTCACTTATAAGAGGAAGACGCTAGAATATATCTCACTTGTTTATTCCAGGAACAGGAATAGTTGAAAAGAATCTTGAAAATATTAATAACTCAGGGAAGCACAAAAGAACTGCTTGATGGTATCCAGGGATGTCATTTAATTAAAAGCCTCCACGCGTTGTGGTAACCAGTGTGAACTCTTCCAGGTGCGCTTGGTAATTGCTGAAAAGGCATTGAAGTGCGAGGAACATGATGTAAGTCTGCCCCTGAGTGAGCACAATGAGCCCTGGTTTATGCGTTTGAACTCAACTGGAGAAGTGCCCGTCCTTATCCACGGGGAAAACATTATTTGTGAGGCCACTCAGATCATTGATTATCTTGAACAGACTTTCCTGGATGGTAATGTTAAGGCTATTTGTGATTTCTTGGACTTACTTTCAACACAAATATATGTCTTTCTTCCTTCCCTCCCTTCCTTTCCCCCTTCCTTCCTTCCCTCCTTCCTATTTCCTCCCTTCCTCCCCTCTTTTTGGTTTCATGATGGTGGTTTAGTGCCAACAACCTTTTCCATTTCCATAAGCACACAAATATAAAATGGGTCAATAAAATAAATTTTGTATAAGCCATTGTAACTCCATGGAAAAGATTTCACGTAAACTACCAATTTTAATGTCGGAACTTTCCTTTTAAATTCACTTGCAAAAACCCCTGCAGGTGTATGGTTTGTGGTGGTGGTTTATTAGCCTTGAAGTCAAATTCATAATATTGATTTTAAATGAACAGTATGAAAATCAGTTTCACTTAGTCTACTAAATGGTTCTACCTTAAGAATAATAAGAGGGAAAAAGAGGAATAAATCTTAGGCAAGGGAGATTAGAATGTTGGTATACTTGGAGATCTTCGCTCTTGTTACATCTGTATGGTTTGAATTTTTATATCTTTTGTGAGGAATTAGAGGGCACAAATTTGTACAGTGATTTTAAGTAATAATCATTTATTGACAGCCTGTTTTGTGTCAGACATTTTATAATTTCTGTTCTAGTCAGTCTTCAAAAAAAAGCAACCTGAGATAGGCATGGTAGACTAATTATTCCCCTTTTGTACATGAGGAAGGAGAAACAGAGTGGTTGCCTAAGGTAACATAGCTATTTTATGGCAGATTAGGGCTGGAATGCAAGCCTTTCAAATCCAAACCTTCCTATTACACGGACCATCTCTCATAGTCATTGCCACTTACATATTGTCTTGCTTCTTCCTAATAACAAGCCTTTGAGGTAAACTGTAGCTTCAATATTTGCCCAGGATTACACAGCTGATCACCGACAGAACTGAGAGCAGAACAGAGGGCTCTTAGCTATCAGCTAAGTACTCTTCTGAAAAAGAAGTTGCACGACGAGATCCAGTTACTCTTCATCTGCCACCAGTTATGTTGATGTTAATTGGGCAAGATAAAACCAGAATATAACCCCAAATTATTGGAAGCTGAGAAAGGAAATTATAAGGCCCCAAGAAGTCTGAGGTACTTAGAAGAAAGATAGGTTTAGGACCTAAATGGGGGCTGGGGGGAGTTTACCCCAGGGAATTAGATTAGCAGTGGGTTTCCCTTATTCTTAACCCAAGTGTTTAGTTCCCTAAGATTTTGATTGGAGGTGGCCACTGATCTAAACTGCTTTTCCATCCATCATTACTTGCTATTCCTTATAAGTCTAAATGCTGGGGACTGAACAGGAAATGGGGGCTAATTGATTTAAGACAATTTTTCTCAATCTTGAGCTTTTTGGAAATGGACAAGTCTGTTGAATAATAATTTGTATTTCTTGGGAGAAGTGATTATAATAATGTGAATAAGACAAAATAATTGCATAAGAATTCTACTTTAAATCATCAAAAACTTTCAAAGGATACAGCAAATGAAAATGTTTAAATCTTTTGTTAGCATCCCTTGAACTACTATTACTACCATTCTCCTCCTCTTTGTGACATTATCTCTCCTGTAAGATATTCAGTAATATACAGTATTACTTTACAGTATAGTAATGTTAATGATTATTAGGCTTCATCAAATTTGTTTTAGGCTTTTTCTTTTTCTTTGACTATATAATAGCAAAACTGAAATGCATTCGGAGTCCTACTCAAGGTGAATACTGACCTTTTCTTACTACTATTTATTGAATCAGAGGAGAAGGTACTGTGGGCTAAACATTAAGAGGAAAATATGGAAACTAAGGACTTTAATTCTGGTGGTACCAATAGAATAAGTAGACAATCGAGAATTCTAGCTCTTAATCTGAAGCTATCGCAAACTGGTTGCATATCCTTGGTGACTTGACGTTTCTGTTTGTCCTCTTGGATTAGGTGATATAATTTTATCAGTTGCAGAGATAAAGCAAGTCCAATCAACTCTTATTTCACTCTTTCCCATTTCCCAAGGAGAGTAGTCATTCAACTGGAAAGAGTAAAGGAAGATTAAGATTCAGGGAACTAAAACCCATGGTAGCTATGAAGACAGTAAGAAAACAGTTATATAAATGCAGGCGTCTAGTCTCCAGATGAAGTTTGTGTCAAAGTGTTAAAATAAAAAACAAACATGTAAGCATTATCACAATGATCATTTAGATAATTTGTATTTATCATTAAGAACTCATGGAGATTAGGAAAAGGGCCAGACAAGAGAGATACAAATGTTATCCCAATTGTTAACCAGAGGGGAGGCTGAATTCTAATCCCTGCTACTTAACACGTATTCCATGGGCCAGCAGCACTGGTATCACCTTGGAGCTTGTTAGAAATGCAGAATTCTAGACTCTACTGCAAGTCTCGTGAATCAGAATCTGCATTTTAACAAGATTCCCAAGTGATTCATATATACATAAAAGTTTGAGAAGCACTACTACAAATTACTGTGCATTAAATAATTGCTTAAGCTTTAAGCAGTGCTATAAATTACTGTCTTCAAGTGTGGCAGAGTTCTAGAATGTGTTGTCAAAAAATTGTAAAGTATATATTTTTTGAGTATCTCGATGAAAAGGAAAACAGCTTAAGTTTTACATTACTGGAGAATGTCTTTAACACTTTAAAAAGTGAATCTATTAGGTGCTGGGCATAGTTCTACATACAGTGTATCTTGATTTAAGCAGAGCATTTGAGGTTAAGTCATATGATACCCCTGTGGAATGAAGGAGCATATATGGCTAGATGAAAGTAATGCACATTTTCCGATGAATAAACCACCATAATGAAGAATATTCATTTCTGAATTTCTTATACCGTGTTGCTTGTTTAGCTGTATTCTCTCATTTCACTTATCCTATGATAATTTTATCACACTTTAATTATTTCAATTACTTGTAGACCACTGTAAGCACCGCGAGGTCAGAGACAGTGCCTGTTTCATTAACAACTGTATTCCCAGTGCCTGGTAGGGTGACTGTTCTTTAATGGGAGCTAATAAATACTTTTGAATGATTAAAATGAATGAGTTATTGAAAACAGATGTCAGCCTGGACAGGGATCTCTACTGGTGTTCTTTTAGGCTTCTATTCTCTGACTGAGTCTAACAATTCCATAAATGATTTGAATAAAGACATCAAAGAAACACTATTATACTTGCAGATGTGTGAGCTGTGATAGTTAAAATGATGACTAGCTTATGAAATGCTTCTCGTGGACAATAAAATGGAACAATAACTAAGATAAAGTTTAACAAGGCTAAAAGTAGTATATGAATTTTGTTTTAAAAAATCAGCTGCATTAATGAAGGATGAGAGACCTGGCCTGCTAATAAGTTACCAACAAAAGCCAACAATGAAATAAAAGACTAGTGTGATTTCAAGTTGTTTCAAAAGTATAGATTCTGTCTAGAACATGGCAAATTGTGACCTGCTGTATTTGAACTGGTTGGAACATGCAGCATGTTGACCAATTATGGATGGAACTTTGAGGAAAGGTGACAAATTAGAATGATAATGAGTGAATGGATTTCATGAGGTGTATAGTTGCCCATGGTTATATAAGAGACTTTAATTAAGTGTATCCATTCATCTAAAGAACAGAGTGTAGTCAACTGGCATCTCCTTTGCTCTTATTTGCTATCCTTTATTAGTCTATCAACTGGGGATTGTACTAAAAATGATGGCTTGCTGACCTGTACACCTTTCTCAACCTTTCTGTATAATCAGTATTTACATATTTACATCCTTTTGGTATATCATAATCTCTTTTAGTGAACTGTAACTTGGCCACCAAATAATAAAAAAAAGTGAGCATGTAATCTCCAAATTATCTGGAAAATTAAAAATGTAAATTGCTAGGAATCTGGCATCCCAATTAAATTCAGATTTTTAGAAGTAAAAAAAAAAAAGAGAGAGCATGAAATAACTACAAAATACTAGAATATATACTGTTTATTACTGCCAATCAGTGGTAACCTGGAATCAAGGATGTCATATGGTGAATATTGAATTTTGGTAATTTAATATGTTTTATAACAGTTCTCTGAAGACTATGCCCCATGTCTTATGTCTAGATATATCATTTTAAGTATTCTTAGGAAAAGAATTTGGTTTGGAAATAATCCAAGTATTCTGGTATATATTAAAGTCTCACATACTACGTCTGATTAGGAAATATAAATTTATTTTATAAATGTAGTTTTATCAATATATATTGAAAATCAACTCAGATTTTAAAGATAATATTCATTCTGAAATTACTGTTATATTAAAAATATAGTTATTTATGTAAGGAATTTTCAATTATTGTTAAGGTCATAGAATAAATAATTTTATATCTGTTACTAAAAGGGTCTCATATATAGTTGAATAACATTATACACTTTTTTGCACATCTACTGAAATTGCAGGTTAGCACAAAGGATTGTAACTGAGTGCAGAGAAAATATGGTATATGGTAAGGAAAAGAAAATGAGTCTTTAAAACTCATGATTATGCCAATAAAAGTGGTTTTAAAAAGTAATTAAAAAAAACTTTCTCTGATTTGTTCAATTTTAGTGAACAGGATGGGGTGTTAAAATTACAGAGGTCCTGGTTCTATATTATGTGTATACAATAATTGGAACAAACTATCTGATCAAGGAATTTTGCCCCCCAATTATGAATGTTCCTATAAAAGTTTTAAATATACTACCAATTAAAAAGTAGTTAAACATTTAAGGTATAAAATGTATTGACTATCTTGCTACAAATTTGGCTGTGTCTCAGAAAATTCTGGATGTGTGTAATGAACTTGTGTAATTTGACATCGTGTTTTTTCTCATCTGTGTTTAGATTTGATCTTCCTAGCTCTGAAGTTATGGCAGCCTTGAATTGTAGTCAGTTTGTAACCATATCTTTTGCTTCAGGTCATAATTTAATTGTTTACCATTATTATCTTTTTAATAGCCTGGTGTATGACTAGTTGAAGGGTACAATTTTGTTCAGCTACATGCTGCATATTATCTTACGTACCAATGTCATCACTAAGTGATCTAAGTAAAATAAAAAATCAGCAAAGGGATAGAGATAGAAATGAAGTCTAATCTATTCTCATTGAAGGAAGACCTGACAATTATTCAAATAGACCTAGGGGGTATCTTTCTAGAAAACAGTCATAATAATATCTCCTTTATCTGCCATCACTGGGGAGTGTAGGAAATCAAAGTAGCCAATTTAGGAAAATAATTAAAATGTATGCCTTTAAGCCCCTAGATTCTTTTTCGTTTTTGCTCTTGGGGAAACTGAATGTAATTTTTTTAATGGCTCAGGGCCATTGTTATTCTACCCAACAGTACAGGGACTTGAGAATATATGGAGCTGTTGGTCCCCATTAAATGGTTACAGAATGCTTTTATTGTTTCTTTCTGATTTAGAATTTTGTTCTTTTATTTTCTCTCTGTTGTTTGTCACATCTTTCTGCTTTATGTCCATCTGCCTGTTTCTAATTTGCTGCCTAAATTTAGGTGCAGTACAAGACCTACCTTTGTCCCTACTCAGTTCTACAACGTCAGGTCTTATGCCAATGTACTTATTTATTCTTCCAGCTTAGTCACTGATCCTGGCTTCCACTACTGCAACCTTCCACCCCAATGAAGAGTTCCCAGAATTATTCTTATTGCCTGTTTCTCAAACCCTGTAACCCTTCTATTGCTTTCTCACTCCTGATTGAGGTAGAATACCAAGAAAAGATTTTCTCTTTTTAGTATCGTAACAAAAATGCTTTATGGAAGGACTGGAAAATAAAATGAGAATGAGAGGGAAGATTTTCTGTATAATTCAAAGGAAATTCCCTGTTGTCTTTTGAAAAACTCTCTTTCCAGAGGCACTGGACACTTTTGTGTGCTGGTGGCACATTGGATGTGTGATACTGGACAGGGTGTCCTTGAAGAGACAAAGTGAGCTTGGAAAAGAACATGGGTTCAGTGGGTATCTGATGCTCTGCCTGACAAAGTGTTTTAGGAGATAGTTATATAGTAATGGAGCACTGAGTAGAAGATTACTTTCGTGCATTCAAATCTTTGGATTCAGACTTGGCCAGATGGACCTTCGCCAGAAAGCAATTGTATGTTGTTTTTCCTGCTTTTATTCGCTTTCCCAGGAAGGAAGTCGTATGCTCTTCTGAAGACAAACCCCCGGCCTGGCACAAGAAAGCAGCCAGAGCCAGTAGCTATAGATTTACCCACTTGAGAGGCATTTTAAAATGTCGTATCATTTATGGTTATTAACCTGTGGTTCTTGGACCCCCCAGAACAGTGGTTCTTAAACATTTGGGTTTCAAGGCCCCTTTGTCTTAAAAGTTAAGAAAGACATTTGAGAGCTTTTGTTTATGTGTTCTATCTATCAATATCTATCAAACTAGAAATTAAAATTGAGAATAGTTTAAAATACAAGAATATACAACCCCACATTCCATTAATGCCAGAGTGATGGAGTTATCACATGTTGTATAGGCTCTGGAAAATACCGTCATACACTCAAGAGAGAATAAGAGTGAAAAAGCAATTAACATCTTAGTATTACTATAAAAATAGCTTTGACTTGTAGACCCCCTGAGAGTGTCTTCAGGAAGCCCAGGGGTTTTTAGACCATACTCTGAGAACTTTTACCGCTAGTGGTCTGTGAATAGAATTCAGGACATTTGATATCTTAGATGGGAACAAATTACATCTTTATTTTTCACTAATTTCAAACAGAAATTTATCATTTCCTTTCATTTCCAATGTAGGCATAATCCAAAGCAATATCAGGAGTGCCTGTGACTTTGTTCGTATGTTCATGTGACTGTGATGTGTTCATGGCATATCAAGTTATTGCAGATATCTTAAAATATCACTTATGCCCATCACTACTTTGAAATTATGGTAGTTATTAGAACTGCTGCTAGCTTTTGTTAGTGTATTAATAAAAAGACACCCATATTAGTATTTTATACTTTAAAATTACTTTGATAGTTTATTTTAATATAATCAATTTCCTTTGCAATCCTATGTCTTGTATTTTATGCATTTAAGAACATTATTTTGAGAAGAGGTCAGTGGCACACAAAAGGTTGAGAACTCTTTAGAATTTCAAGGACCTTAGAAGCCCTCCAGTCTGTTATCCTCATGGGAATGTTTACCATGCATTGGTTGGGCAGCAAGGAAGTGTGCTCTAGTTGGGCTGAAAAGTCAGCAAGGAAGTGTGCTCTAGTTGGGCAAGTTCACGGTTGACGAGCAGAATGTAGCTGACCCTTCATTCTTGGTCATTCTAATGCAGACTTCAGAATTGGACTCCCAGCAGGGAATTAGACATTTGCCCACTGGTTTGAGGAGTAATCCATGTTCTTTTTTCTTAGAGAGTCAGAAATAGCCTTTTGGCTTAAAATCTTGTACTACTTGGTCTGGCGTTATGAGATCTTGCCCGAAATCTTACTCTCCAACCAACTCTGAATTGTCAATGCTTATGAATGAGTGTGCGATGCTCAAAAGGATTCCAAATTAAATAAATAACTCAAACTAAACGAATAAGTGAATAAGCAAAAAATAAATGAATAGAGTTGAGGTCATTCTTTTCACCTCTTTAGATTAATAAGCTTGTTGGCATTTTTTTTTTAGGGGAAGTTTGAGAGTCAGAAGTGGGAATAGATTCTGTAGGGACTTAGCCCTGACCTTTGGATCACATGGTTCATTTTTATTCTTCTTGAATAGTCTCTGAGAAGTAAACCCTTTGAAGATGTTACAATGATGTAATAAAACAGAGCACTGCATTAGGAGTTAATGACTTTGGTTCTTGGTCTGCCTCTAATTAGCTGTGGGATCTTGGGAGAATGTCTCAGCCTATATATCTCAGTGTCCTCATTAATTGCTACAGAGCTTCTGCAGCTCAAATATTCTATAATAACTAGCAATTTGGGAATATATTAATTCATTAATTGAAATTTATTCAACACCTACTATGAGCCAAACATTATATTGGGCACTGGGATTCAACAAAGAACAATACATGGTCCCTGCCCTTAAGGAGTCTATAGTTTAGAGTTTAACCAGCAAATGAAGATTTATGTAGAGCCCACTTTCCAGAGATAAAATATTAGAAATTGCTGGTGAATTCCACAAAGATTATCAATTCCCATTCACATAGCATCAATGGGATCACTCTTGGTATTAACTGGAACCTGGGAAGGTGTGGTCCCTGATCATCTTTCCATAATGAGCCTTCATTCACTTAACCAACATTTACCAAGGGCCTAAAATGTATGAGACACTATGCTAGACTCCGGATCATACGTTCCTTGCCCTGAAGGGGTTTATGGGGCAAAAAGATACAAACAAATAATTAAGGTGATAAGGGCTATAATGGAGTATGTACAGAGTATTTTGCATGTACAGAGGAAGGCATAGTTGACTTAGTCAGATGTTGGTAGTTGTGGAAGTTTGGCGAAATTTCGGCAGGGGAGTTGGCATAAAAAACTAGACCTTGAGAGTAGTGATTTGCAAGGTGGAGAAGTGTGATCGTGGTTTGGGAATCTGGTCTGGTACCTCAGTCCAATTCAAATTTTGAATGTCTGGGCTGGAGAGATATCATCCTTTAAATCCCTTCATATAATACTGAAAATGTTAATGTGGAGGGGCTGGAGTTTTTTGTTTCTTGCTTTTGGATGTAACATCTTGTTTGTAACTTTTCCTTCAATGTTTGTGTATGTGTTTGTGTGTGTATTTTAGAAAAAACACCCAGGTTAATGCCTGATAAAGGAAGCATGTATTACCCACGGGTACAACATTATCGAGAACTGCTTGACTCCCTGCCCATGGATGCCTATACACACGGCTGCATTTTACATCCTGAGCTAACTGTGGACTCCATGATCCCAGCTTATGCAACAACAAGGATTCGCAGTATGTAAAGAGCTTAAAGACCTGGAATTCTGTCTCAAGTTTCTTTTAATTCATTTCTGAGACCTAGCACACCTCAGGAAGACTTGGGGGCAGGGTTGTTGAGTTTGCTTCATGGACATGCATGTTATATATCGATCCACGCACCAGTCAGATGAATCTGTGCTTCAGCTGTTCAGCTGGACATTTATTGTCTACAGGACCTGATTTTCCAGCTCTTGGCCTTGAGGGCCAAGCTTAAATAAAACTCGGAAGAGTGGCCCGTGGAAAAGTAGAGAACGTAACATGTTCTCATGGACAAATGGACTAGGAAATAAGGAAAGCTGGGATCTGCTGGGAGTTATGGGTGACTGAGTTCACATTTCTGGTCCTTAATTTTTGTTTCATTATGTGAAGAGCTGGGCTACAGGCTGTGTAGCCATTACTCTTCCTCTGAGTTTAGTGATCGGGGATTCACTGAGGTGGAGCTGTGACCTCCAGCTCTCTCCTTCCTCCTGCCCTGAGGATAGGGAAGGGTCAGTGCGTGGGATACAAAGATACAAACAACTAATTAAGGTGAGGAGGTGTGCTCCATGGCCCAGGGGATTGGAAAGGGAAGGGGCTGTGATCAAACTGGGGGTTTTGACCAGGAACACTCACACCCAGAGCTTCAATTCCAGAAAGCCCGTTCTTTCTGTTGCATCATACCTCGCCTTTACAGTTCTCTTACTGACGCTACTTTACTTTCTTTTCAACCCCCTCCTCCTTACTCCTCCCCTCTTACCTTCCCTGCCCTGCTTTCCCTCCCTGCATTTTTCTCCTCCCTCTTCCAACTTCTCACCTTCCTCTTGTTCCTCCGCCTTCTCCTCAGAAATACTCATTATATGATTTGAAACAAGTATTCTGACTATATTTCCCTAGAGTAAATATTTCTCTAAATAAGGCTTTTCCCTTCCCTTTCCATAGAAATTTATTACAGAAAACTTGGAAGGTATTGAAAGGTAGAACTACCCTGCTCAAGCACTTATGATGTGCTGGGCTTTGCATTCAATGCCTTTCCACAGTGCCTCCCGTTTCATTCTCAGCCTGTGTGGCAGATACTCTGAGAGCTCCATTTTATTTTATTATTTATTTACCCAGATTCTATTTTTATTTCCTGGGAGTTGTTAATGGGCTTTGCCATGACAAGGTTCTACCCGTCTTTCACTTTAGCAGCTCCCACCTACTGAGATAAGCGGCAGGGTCCTTTGATGCAGAGGGACAATGTAGAGGTAGAAACCCCCTTTTAAGAGGATAATGAAAGGATCAAGATGGGTGTTTAGTTTTCGTCTTTTCCTGATTCATTCTTCTTAGTAATATAATAGCTGAAAGGTCACCCTTATAGTTCAGGGAAGTCAGGATGTTACAAGTGAGAGAGGATCTTAAGAAAAAGAGTAGAGAGTCACCAGGAAGAAAAGAACAACTGGTTGCTCCAGTGTGTGTGTGTGTGTGTGTGTGTGTGTGTGTGTGTGTGTGTGTGTGTGTGTGTGTGTGTGTGTGTGTGTGTGTGTGTGAGAGAGAGACAACGTGTGTGCATAGGGGGTCTCATGCATTGAACTTTTTTTTTAACAGAGTGCAGTATTTATTTATGTAGACTTTGTCTGTAGTGTTTTTTTTTTTTTAACAGCTTTATTGGAGTATAATTGCTTTACAATGGTGTGTTAGTTTCCGCTATATAACAAAGTGAATCAGCTATACATATACATATATCCCCATATCTCCTCCTTGCGTCTCCCTCCCACCCTTCCTATCCTACCCCTCTAGGTGGTCACAAAGCACCGGATAGCTCCATTTTAAAAGTGAGGAAACTGAGGCACACAGAGTCTGAGTCAGAGGAAGGGCATGACCCCAGGGCTTATGCTCTTACCATTGAGTTTCCCTGCTTTTCTTTGTTTCTTTTATGGAAGGGAGGAAATAATTTTCTGTTTCAAAAATGATTTTGTTATCAGGCCAAATTGGTAACACAGAGTCTGAACTGAAAAAACTTGCTGAAGAAAACCCAGATTTACAAGAGGCGTACATTGCAAAACAGAAGCGACTTCAGGTAAGTAAACCGGGCTGTCCTCAACTGACATCCGCTGTTTGTATTAAATGTTCTACTTTTTGTACAGTATCATTATTTTTTAGAACATATTCTATGAACTATCGCAAGTCACCAGAACATGTGTTACCTTCAGCTTAGGCTCTGCTTTTAGAAAGAATTTTCCTTTATTAGATTTGATATTCAGACCTAACGACAATTGCTTAAAAAGCAGTCATTGCTCATGCTGGTTGCCAAGGAAACTTATAAAATGTAAAAGCAAGTTAATAAAATATTGTAGGAATCTGTCATTTCAGGTATTTTTCCACTTTGAGGCAGATAGACCTCTATCTATGACTTTTTTATACCAATAAAATTACAGGCGAGTTTATTTGTTTTTTTAATATATATACCCCACATGCCTTTCAGTTTTTTTCCTTTGTACCTTTTGATCCCCTTCACCCATTTCTCCAACCCCTCACCCCACTGCCTCCGGCAACCACCAGTCTGTTCTCTGCATCTATGAGCTTGGTTATTTGTTTGTTTTTAGATTCCACCAATAAGAGAGATCATATGGGATTTGTCTTTCTCTCCTTGACTTATTTCACTTAGCCTAATGCCCTCAAGGTCCATCCACATTGTTGCAAATGGCAAAATTTCAGTCTTTTAATAGCTGAAAAATATTCCATTCTATATACACCAATCACAATTTTTTAATCCCTTCATCTATTGATGAACACTTAGGTTCCTTCCATGTTTTGGCTATTGTAAATAATATTGCAATGAACGTAGGAGCGCAAATATCTTTTGAGTTAGTGTTTTTGTTTTTCTTTGCCTAAATACCCAGAAGTAGAATTGCTGGATTATATGTTAGTTCTATTTTTAATTTTTTGAGGAACCTCCATACTATTTTCCATGGTGGCTGCACCAATTTACATTCCCACCAGCAGAACACAAGTGTTCCCCGTTCTCCACATCCCTGTCAACACTTATGATTTCTTGACTTTTTGATAATAGCCATTCTAACAGGGGTGAGGTGATATCTTACTGTGGTTTTGATTTGTTTTCCCTGATGATTTACAATGTTGAGCATCTTTTCATGTACCTATTGGCCACTGTATGTCTTCTTTGGAAAAATGTCTATCCAGATCTTCTGCCCATTTTTAAATTGGATTGTTTGTTTGTTTGCTATTGAGTTATATGAGCTCTTTATAGATTTTGAATATTAGCCCAGATATATGACTTTTAAGTATTTGCTCCCACTTAGTAGGTTGCCTTTTCGTTTTGTCGATGGGTTCCTTTACTGTGCAGAAAGAAGCTTTTTAGTTTAATGTAGTCACACTTGTTTATTTTTGCTTTTGTTGCTTTTGCTTCTGGTGTCAGATTTAAAAAAATCATTGCCAAGACCAAGTCAGTGAGCTTACCGCCTGTGTTTTCTTCTAGGAGTTTTATGGTTTCGGGTCTTACTTTCAAGTCTTAAATCCATTTTGAGTTAATCCATTTTGATGTGTCTGCCTCCTGAGGAACAGGTCTTTGCTTCATCATTTAGAGTCAGCCTTTCTCTTTCTGCTGATTCTTTCCTCCAACAAACTGTGTAAAGCTTCTCCCATGTTGAAAATCTAGCAAACATCAGCACTCCCAATCCTGCCTCTACTTCCCAGCCTCCTTTATCCTACATGAGCTAAATAAGTGAGCTTCTCAAGAGAAACGCCTGCACACACAACACTCCTTACTCTCTACCTGCTCTTTTTTTTTTTTTTTGCGGTATGCGGGCTTACGGGCCCAGCCGCTCCGCGGCATGTGGGATCTTCCCAGACCGGGGCACAAACCCGTGTCCCCTGCATCGGCAGGCGGACTCTCAACCACTGCGCCACCAGGGAAGCCCTCTACCTGCTCTTTAACTCACTGCACTCAGATTCCTCTCGCATCTCTGAGCCCTCAGTTATTCATTTGTTGAAGGCTGCCGACGTTCCATTCTGGAGTTGGGCACGAGAGGAGTCTCTTTGTGCCCCTCACATTCTTTGCCCTCTCTGATCATTTGGTTCCACAGGAGTTGCCAGTGAACAGTGGGTCTGACCCCTGGGATATTTTCACAGCCAGGGCATTTTCTGTCAGGTTTGCTTTTGCTTTAACAAAGTTATTCTATTTCTTCTCATTGTTGAGAATAAACAGGCTTCAACTCTGTAAGAGTTTGTATCTGCTCTGCTCTACGCTGATTACTTTTACAGGCATAAATAACCTATAAGTTATTTTTGTTAATTAGTCAAAGCTCCTTGACCATGACAATGTCAAATATTTGAAGAAAATTCTTGATGAATTGGAGAAAGTCTTGGATCAGGTTGAAACTGAGTTGCAAAGAAGAAATGAAGAAACCCCAGGTAGGTTCTCATTTGTGTCCTTTTTCTCTTTTTCTGGACATCAGGAGTATTTATGGGAACGTTCTTAGGTTTCACCAAAAACATTCTGTAATCTGTTTTTAATTGTTAGTACTCATGGGCAGTTTCAATTATGATAGCATCAATACTAGGTGTCAAATTCAGCAAAACCCAGGTGTCTAATGGTAACTCTGCGTCTATGTGAAATATGACTGGTGAAGAATTTTTCTGCACAATTTAAGGTATGCTTCGTAGATTCCTACCTGGCCTGTTTCACAAATTTTAATTAAAGGAGTTAGTTTGGTTGAATAACCTGAGTACCTGCTTGAACGCTCCCTCTAGTGTTTCCCTTAGGCAGGGAGAAAAACTGCAAATTGAAGTAAAGTATAACATGGAAGCAGCCTGTGCACATGTGCAGGCTGGCTGGTGAGGTGAGCGTCCGCCGGCTGCACCTGTGAACCTGGCTTCACGATGAAGCCCAGGTGCAGACATATGGACCATTTGCACTATTCTGATTGACAACAAAGTTAAAGACCATTTTACCTGAAACTTGCTTCACAATAGGGACTTTCTAAATAAGTCACTAAAAGCGGCAACTACTGAGTGACACATGGATTTTCCTTAAGTACACCTGTCATTTTCTTAACCCAGAAGGAAATATCTGTTAACTCCTTTGGCTTGGAAGCTCTCCACTCCTCAAAATGATAGACAGGCTTTGAGCTCAAGTGGCTCTAGTGGCACCTAGGGACTCAGGTGCCTGACAGATGGCAAACAAGTCTCCCTTAGCTTGGGATACATTTGCATGGACTTTTTTTTTTTTTTAAAGCATAGAATTACTTGCTGAGTATTGTCAAGAAAATGTACCATGGCCTTCATCTTTTGCTACCCTCACCCTTGCCGTCAAGACTAAGACCAAAGATGCCAACCAAAGTCTATTTGTACCGTGCTTGCCCCTTATCCTCCATGTCCCTTTCTCTAATTAGAAGAGGGCCGCCAGCCATGGCTCTGCGGGGAATCCTTCACCTTGGCTGACATCTCGCTTGCTGTTACACTGCATCGACTGAAGTTCCTGGGGTTTGCAAGGAGAAACTGGGGAAATGGAAAGCGACCGAACTTGGAAACCTATTACGAGCGTGTCTTGAAGAGAAAAACATTTAACAAGGTTTTAGGACATGTCAACAATATATTAATCTCTGCGGTGTTGCCAACCGCATTCCGGGTGGCCAAGAAAAGGGCCCCAAAAGTTCTTGGCACCATCCTTGTGGTTGGTTTTCTTGCAGGAATGGGATATTTTGCTTTTATGCTTTTCAGAAAGAGACTTGGCAGCATGATATTAGTGCTCAGACCCAGACCAAATTATTTCTAGGCTTTTGGGGATCTGGTGGCGGCAACTCATCTAGCCATTCAACTAGACCCTTCTCCACTCTTCCAGGCCCAGTGAAGAATGACCCTGGGCAGCTAGTAAAACGCATAATTTCCTTTACTCTTTGGCTCGTTTATGCAGGGAGAGGAGGCAATGAAGATGGTTTTGTGGGCTGGTAACTTTGAGAGGACTTATTTGCAACCCTGAACTAATTCCTCCTTAAAACATGTGCAAAGTCAAGATATGTGAATGCTGACAGGTAGAGAATAGACCTTTCGCTCAAAATGTCAGTTCAAGTTCTGGGTGATTTTGGGGGAGAAGTTTATTATTATGAGAAGACAGTAATAATAACCTATGATTGCCCATAACTCTTCATCTGAGACTATCTGGGTGTGTTGAGTGTTGAATAGTTAGCAGTATTTTCTCCTGGAATTCAGAAATCCTCTTTGTTACTCAACACAGGAGTTCAGATAGCAGCAGGGCACAGCAGTGCTTCCTACTCTCACTGTTAGCTTTAGGCAGAAATAAGGGAGGCAAAGGGACAAAGAAGGGGGAAAAGGGAGAATGAAGTCTATATAATGATGACAATAGAATGCAACTTCCAGGTGCTTCCGATGCCACTCATGGCTGCCTGTCCCCTTAGTAAACATTATATTTGACTACTTGTGGCTACAGCCCATGCATCCTCCTGTAACTGAGGACCTTGGAAAAAGAGGACTGGGGAGTTACTGCAGAGAGTTGGCTGGAGAAAACCCTGGGCTTTACACTTATAGCACCTAATCTGACCTTAGTGTTAATTTTAAATGCACATAAATCACAGTCACTAATTTATTAAAATTAACTGATTACCTACTTGGGCATGAGATGCCTACTGGAACATGTCTGACTAGCATGTACATGAAACTCTGAAATTTCCTCATGGTTCCCCAATTCGAAGGTGCCTGTGAGATATCACTCCTGTGGACTGTTGTGAACAGTCACTGGGAGTCTTTGTCTCTCCAGCCCTTTTGTGCCCACAGGTGGCATTTAGGTGAATGTCCCAGGTAACTACTAGCATGGCATGTGGCTGGGGAGTGGGTATTTCGTTGATCTGGGAGTGTTAAATAGGCTTATTCTGCATTTAGGGAGGCTGGTGTGTTAATGCAAAAACTGTTGTCTAAACCTTGCATCTATTTATTGTCATCAACAAAGCCTTAAAAGGTTACAGGGAAGGAGAAAATCTAGCCTTGATCCTTGGCAATTAATTTAGGGGAGATGAAATAAGTCGATAGATAGTGATTCCACCTATATTCCTTCATTTCCACCTATATTCACTTCCACCTATATTCACTTCATAGTGATTCCACCTATATTCCTTCATTTCCACCTATATTCACTTCATTCATTCCTTCATGGGCACTTTAGGGGGTGCCTCAGTCCATCTGGAAGGGAAAAACCCTGTGTGTCCCATGAACAATAATGGAACTGCAAGATACAGTTTGTGCTCAGGAAGAATCTTTCCTGGTGACAGGAAGGTGGAGTTTCTCTGGAGTTGGCCAGAAAGGTGTGGGGGGCAGTGTTAGGTGTGACAGGAAGCATGTATGGGGAATGGTGAGCTAAGGTTCCAGCGAACAGCAGAAGCTTGCTTGGACTGCCTCAGATGGGCTGTGCAGATGGCCAAAGAATGTACCTACCAACTTTTTCATTAACAGGAAACAGTCATACCTACTAAACAATGACTTTTTGATGGTAAAATGATTCTATAATTCATGAATCAGTTGTGTTAGAAAATATTGTTGAACTGGATACTCTCTGTTTCCAAAAAATTAATAACATCTCCAGTGTAAACTCAATCCAATAATAATGAACAGAGTGGCAGCTTTTATAATGTCTTGATTTTGAACCTCAGTGCATTGTTGTATAGAGTGTCTGAATTTGTTTCTGGGACATTCCAAACCATGTATTCATAAAAGAGCCACAAAACTGATTATTCAGTAGGTCAGAGTGTTTCAGAGTTCTTTATGTCATCCTTTTATGAACAAGAACTCAGACATGAAGAAATTGAAATTGGATTTTTACAAAAATCTACAAAGGAGGATATTTACCTATATAAGGGTTGTTGATTAAGAATAAAGATTTGAAGTCCAATACTGGCTTTTCACTAAATTTGTATTATTACTGATCAAGAGAAAATCTACTAAAAGTATTTATGATTTTCAGATACAGTTTCATTGGAAATAGGCTTGTGTCTCTATTAAACGTGATGCATTTGTCAATTTCACTTGTTTCATGGATACCCTTGAGTTTATACTTTTAAGACATTTGTTTAGGGGTAAAATGACCACTAGGTGTCGCTGTTCATCCAGCACTCTGAGATTGGGCTTTCTTTAGGTTCAGCAAGTCTTCTGAAATGTTACAAGTGAAGATAAACATTAATGACCTTAGTTTCTGAAATGAGGGCATCTTCATCAGATCATTCATCTGTAAAAGAGCTTGAGGCATATGTAGTATTGACGTCTAATGCTTGGAAGGGATAACTGTACCACACAATGTCAAGCTAAAGTGCTGAACATACACTATTAGCAAAATAGGCACATTTATGTATTTTCTCTTTCATGATCATTCGTGGACTGGCCAATGTGCTCCTCAATTTCCAAAATTTGTATAAATTAGAAAAATGCCTGAGGTACTAAATTTATGTTGGCTATTTATGTCTAAACACAAATACTATTTTATTGTTATTGCTGTTACATGCCTTTTGGATCTAATTTCCTTAACTGCAGATAGTTGTACATTGCTTGCTCGATTTTTAGTAATTATTGATATTGACACCAGAGTTGTAGACTTTTTGGTATTGTTGAATGTAATAGATCAAGATACTATTCTGCCTGTAAGATCAATGAAATTAATTGGAAAATAAATATGTGTCCTGAAAGTACTAATTTTGTCATCTTTTTTGATAAATCAGATCATGTTTTCCATTTAATGTCAAAGCATAATGTCGTAATTAAGGTAAAATAAGCAGAAGTTAGGTGTTCAAAATATTTAGCTATAGGATGTCATATTTTCCTTGTAACATAAAAGTTACTGACTCTCGATTTATTTAAATACACATAATTTTATGGTTAAACTGAATGGTGGCTTAAAGAATACCATATCGATCCTGATCATTAAAGGGGTTCTTTTGCAGCCAGGCACTTAACAGGGTATATAGCACGAAAATGGTCAACACAAGAGTTTGTTTTTTTTTTTTCAAAATAGTTTTGTTACATGTTCACTGGGTTTCAAATACTACTCTTTTTATGATATTTATGTATATTTTTGATATAGCTAATTCTTTTCCTTTTACCGAGTCATGGATTATGAATATTCAAATTACTATCCATATTTCTAGCCTTGGTGAGCTTAGCCATTATTCTAATCATCAAAGAGAAATTGAGTACTACTTCTGTTTTACATTGAACAAAGCCAACTAAATGAGAATCGAATTGATCTCATTTTCCCTAAGTTTGCAAACAAAAGGCAACAATTTTGAATACCATGGAACGTGATGTGCATGTACCACTCTATAGTCTGCTCAGAAAGAAAAAAGCACTATGGTAATGACAGAAGAGTCAAATTAATACTGTGAATAACAGTATTTAGACATAGTCTTCATATTGTTTATGCCAAATATTTGGCCCGTTTATATTGTTGTTCTCTACTTAGTCATACCAGAATGTCTTGGTCTTCTAATTTTCCAGAACACCTGTGTTTTACTAAATAGGGTAGTAGATTCCAAGCCAAGTGAAGAAGTATAATTTCTAGAGTGGAGATAATAGTTTTAATTGTGTATTACATTATGAAAATGAAGAGAGGAAAAGAGAAGGCGAACTCACGTTATGGGTTAGAAATGCAGTACATTGATGAAAACAATATACTTTATTACTTGTGCCTGAGTTGAGCCCTGGATTTTGTCCTAGGAAGAAGATTGACATGTGTGTCATGAGGCAGTGGGGTAGAGCAGTCTGTGAGGTGCAAGGCGACACCACCATGTGGAGTTGGAGACAACTCATGCTTATTATGGGCCTTAATATACTCTGATTCAAGTAGGGTGGCATATCTCATCCATAGTACCTTGTCATAAAACTCCTTTGGGGAATAAAAATAAATGAAATTGAGTTATTGGTAGTGAGGCGGATGGATCGAGAGACTGTCATACAGAATGAAGTTAAGTCAGAGAAAAACAAATACCGTATGCTAACACATATATATGGAATCTAAAAAAAAAATGGTTCTGAAGAACTAGGGGCAGGACAGGAATAAAGACACAGACATAGAGAATGGACTTGAGGACATGGGGAGAGGGAAGGGTATGCTGGGACGAAGTGAGAGAGTGGCATGGACTTATATATACTACCAAATGTAAAATAGATAGCTAATGGGAAGCAGCCACAGCACAGGGAGATCAGCTCGGTGCTTTGTGACCACCTAGAGGGGTGGGATAGGGAGTGTGGAAGGGAGACGCAAGAGGGAGGGGATATGGGGATATATGTAGAGGTATAGCTGATTCACTTTGTTATACAGCAGAAACTGCAGAAACTAACACACCATTGTAAAGCAATTATATTCCAATAAAGATGTTAAAAAAAAAAACTCCTTTGGGAAGGATAGAATTTTTTTTTTGTCTTAAACCTTTATTCATTATTTATATATTGGCTACTTAATTACAATGTGCTGTCATTGAACTCCCTTACTAGGAAAAGCCAATAATATGGGTGAAAATGTAGAGATGCTAATGAAATGTAATTCAAAGTGTCAGGTAATTTTTGAGGCATATGGCCAGCGTGTATAACTTTTTGTTTTATCAGATTAAGCTATCTTTTGAATGTAAGGTTCTGATATTCAATAGTCACACATACATATCATCAACTATGCATTATATCAAAAATATAATGATATAATTTCAGAGATTCTATATTTATTAAGTTCAGTGCTCAAAAGAAAGTAAAGGTTTGCATTAAGAAACTTAGATGAGCTAAAAATTACTAGCACTAAAAGCAGAGGTGGCTATGTTGTAAAAATAGCCACAAATTCTTCTCATTTCTCCACTCATTTCCTTGTAATCTTACCTTCAAGAAATAGCATCTGCAGAGCATGATATATTAGGCTTACCAGAGAGTAACCTACCAGAGATATTAGACATCATGTAGTGAAGAAAGTCACTGGAAGTCCATTCCAGGCAGAGTGGAGGGCCTCCTGAACACCTCGTTAACCCCTCAGGCAGAACCATGCCCTAATGAAAGCCCTAAGTTAGACCTGGGCTTTTCAATCTTGGCACTATTGATATTACACGACAGATGATTCTTATGTGGAGGGGTTTCATATGCTGTGGGATGTTTAGCGGCATCCCTGGTCTCTACCCACTAAACGCCAGTAGCTCCCCTTTGCTCCCGTTGTGGCAACAAAAAAATGTCTTCAGATTTGACAAATGTCACCTGGGGAGAAAATCACCTCCTTTCAAAGACCACTGCTCTACACCCACCCTAACAAGGCCTAAAACCAAGCCCTGACAAGATCTGCAGGGGAGACAGATTTTGGAGGTTGGGTCCTGCCAAGTTAGAGGTGCTTGGGGAATGTCTTGGATTTCCACATATCCTCTGTAACAAGGCATAAAACCGAACCTACACGATATGAAGGGTATTAGCCAGTAAATGAACTGCCTACTAGAACAAGTCAACGTCCTTTAGAGGAAAGATAACAGGATCCAGAGCCTGTAATGTATCACTAACAATGTCCAGTGCACAGTATAAAAACATTACCAGACATGCAAAACCAAAAAGTAATAGTAAATAGAAACAATGTGGTATGACTCAAATGTTGGATTTAGTAAAGATTTTAAAGCAACTAAAGACCAATAGATCTACTGTTTACTGAGCCTATTATGTGTCAGGAGCAATGCTAGGCCCTTAACATATAGTATCTCTTATTCTCAAGAGAACTTTGTTCTCATCTGCAATTTACAGATGAGAAAACCAAGGCTCAGTGAGATGTGGTACCTGATGCAAGCTAATACATCTATTAAGTGTGAAAGCCAGGATACAGGATCTGCATCTAGATCTGATAGTCAAGCCTATGCCCCAGACAAGCCAGCCCATTCTCACAGCTTCCACACTTTCCATTGTTGTTCATGTACATCTCACAAATCAATAATTCCCAAAGTTAATGCATGGATAAATATTCTTGGCAGAAAGATTCTTTTTTTTTTTTTAAAACAGATTCTTTTTTTTTTTAAATAGAATTAAAAGAAAATACAGTCTGATTGAGTCAATAGGTAAGG